TAGGAAAAAAGCATATTATCTGCTTCCTAGCACAAGAGAGGGTGAGGCATTTCACCTCCTCCGTTTTGACTGCCATCAATGCCTACAAGGTACTGCTAAACAAACCGCCTGCCCTTGGCACCAATGTCCCAGGTAACGGGGATCCAGCTCATCGCCCTGGACAAATTCACAGCAGCCCTTGACTCTTCATTCCAGGATGCTCTTCGCTCAGAATCCGTTTGCTGTTTGTAGCCACATCATTCGGATACAGAACGGTCTCAGTTTCATACACCCCCAGTGCCTACTCTGTCTGTACAGAGGGGTAACATCAGGCACACATGCCTAGCAGTGGGCGGTTGTTTTTCCCCCCCTCCTTAATTTAGCATGGGCTTTAAAATTAAAATCTTCTAATTGCTGATGAAGACAGTGCTGGAGAATATTATAGCATTCAAGGCCAGATTCTAGCAAAAGGAAATGCAAATGCTATGGTAAAATCACAATAGGCTGCAGTATTACAAGGACCAAAATGCACAATATGCAGAGAAGAACAAGCTTCTCAAAATGAACAGAAACCCAAAAGCAGGATGTAGAGAAATGAAGCAGTGGATTTCATGCAGAAATTAGAGCTGCTGGATTCAGTCTTTAGCTTAAAAGCTACACAGTCTGGAGACACTCTTCAAATACATAAAATGCGTTACAAAGAAAACGGGAACAAGCTGTTCTGTATGCCTACAGCTGAGATAAAAAAAGAGGTTAAGATCCAGCAAGAAAGATTTAACTTTTCCTAACACCCTACCTTAATACTAACAATACCAAGGCCCTACAGGAACTTGGAGGAGGAAGGATAATCTTTGCCATTAACAGTTTCTTTCTGAGCAGACAAGTCTCTGTCCTGCCAGGTACGGTCGGGATGCAGCTGATCCTGCCACACTGTGCGATAAAAAACAAGATGAGCTTTTGCTTTCCATTCAAAGATTTCAAGATTTCTACCACCACTATTGTTCAGAAATCTTCTATTCGACTATCTGAACTTTTGGTTTTGCTACCTCATGTTCCTATTTTTACAATGAAGTGAAAGACTTGCAAAGCTTACCAGTTTTACAGCATCTGAAAGCTAGTTTATCGACACAGCATTGTGTAAAAGGAAAGAAGGAACCAGATTTTTCTTCCTGCTACTTAGTTTAAAACTGCGAATGACTCTTGAAAGCTCAGATTTCTACCCCAGTTGCTCGTGCAGATATTGTTACAGCAAAATTGAAAATGTAATTAAAAAACCTTTTCATCTTTTGAATATTGATTTATTTCGTAATTAACTTGCTCCTTTTCCAAGCTGCTTTCCCTGATTTCCAAGTTTTGTGGAATTATTATGCACGGTTAGACCAAGAGAGACGGGAAAGAGGTGCTGGGTCACTACAGCACCAGCGGGTCAGTACCAGAAGGCCCTGGCACTCGAGAGAGCTCGTGGCTGTGATTTGTTTAGTTAGGTTCCTAAACATGTTATTTGCAAAAGAGGAGACACCCTCATTTTCTTTTAGCCAGATACAAGAACACTGAGTCCCTTTTCTTTACCTCATGGGACCAAAACTCTCTTCTCCACCTCTGAGGAAAGCAGCCGAGGTTCCCCATGTACCACGAGAGGTAACTGCTGCCTTCGCAGGCTGTTGCACCGTCATCATCAACCCTGCTGAGGGCATTTCTGAAATAATCTTGAAGGGTAACTCAAGCTTTGAGTTGCACGCTGGGAAATTACTCATTAAGGGAGGACTCACCCTTCTCTCGCTGATGCCTACAGTAGCCGTACTCACTATACACTTGACACTGAAAAATATGAAGCACATTTAAATACAAAACTGAAATAAGCGCTTACTACAAGTCGTTATTAGCATGTGGTGGCGTCCCCCAAACCAAATACTACTTTAGCAGCCACCTTTACAACCCTGTCAGCTAGAAGTTGTTTCCAAGCTGTAGTTATTTCAAACTACAGCTAGCCAGGCAAAAGTCCCTACATACTCCTCTTGACTGATGAGGAATAAACCTAACAGATTTGCCTCTCCACAACTTTATTGATTTGCAAGGAAAAGATGCAGAAAAGCCTAAATGTGTTTAGAGAATATATCCTTTAAGGCAACGATTACTGCTCTCATCCTCTCTCGTGATGAGCACAAGGATAAAATCCTGCTGAGCGATACCTGTTACAGGTGAGCCACTCACAGTACCAGAGGAAAATACTGCTAATAGAAAACCTACCAACTCTTAAGCATTCATTTTCACAGAAGCAATAAAGTACATATTCACAGTTCCTTTCCTTTAGCTGTGGAAAAAAAATAATTTACTTTTTTTTTTTCTTTAAATCTGATGCAAATTTTCCCCTTTCAAAAAAAAAGTTCAGTTGACACTGTCACACAAAAATTGACACTTCAAGGTTATGAACAAACTAAGTTTAATCTAAACCTAGTTTACAGTTGCATCAGAGGAAGAACAGTTTCAGTCTTTCCAGTAAATGTCAGCAAGTGATTCAGGGCGATAGGAATGGATCCATAGAATCAAACAGTTGATGTTCAACCTCTATACCTACAGCATATACAGTCTGGAAATTTGCAGGCCAGGTTTAGTCTGATCCTCCAGACATCCTCAAGGCATAGATGGCTTCAAGCTGCCTGAAGGAAACCACTGCTGGGGACTCACATCAGCGTTAGGAGTCGGAGGGCACTTGGTGCCCACCCAGAGCCCCATTCCCAGAGTTCTCCAAGAAGAAGTGAGCTCAAGAGCACCGAGACTGCTTTCTCAGCCAAACCAGTACGTGGCAAGCGGGGACGAAAGTGGGATTTACCCCCAAACTGCACAAACTACATCACTGCCGCGGATGCAGCTGGAGTCACCCCCAAAGGAGAACAGGTCCATGGGACGTTTGGTCTCACACCATCCTTTTAACCCTGGGCTGAATGACTGTTTACTAATGAACAGCATTGCAGCGTTCAACTGAACCAGCCGGCAGAATTGTTATCAAAATAAAATGATCAAAATTACAATGATTTTAAAGTTTCGTTCTACCTGCAGTATGAATTTTAAGACAGACACACATAAAAGGAGCTGCTCAGGAGAACCTGAAAGCAGAATCGCTGCTCCTGTTGCGGATGTTCAGAAAGAACAATTGCTGACTTGCAGGAGTCAAAAATTCCTTCCTATAAAGGGGCACTAAGACGTAGAAGATGTAACGCACTTCATAAATGCAAGCATTTCACAAGTCCGTATTACAAGCCATAATATCTAGTACATCAACATGCCACAATACAAAGCTTGTCTTTATATTTAAAAATAGAATATAAACAAAGAGTAATTCACATTAAGACAATAGCCACAACAAAATTTCTCAGAGAAAGTGCTTTACCTACACAAACTACCCTAAAGCCTACCAAGCAAGCTCTAAAGTTCTCCAATTTAAAAGGGGTAGGGGAGGAAACAAGAAAAAGTGCAAGTGATAACCAACATTTTGAGAGAAATCAAGAACTCCAAATGTGCCATGTGCCTCAGCTGATACTCAGGTCAGCTTCATCTGGAGAGTCACTACCCCTTAATATGATCCAGCATCCCAGTCTGAAAAAGTAAACAGAATAGTTGATTTACTTATAAATTGCTTTATTGAAGCTATAACTTAATAAATTTGACGTTCAAGGTGTAAAATTCTCACAGACTAAAAATTAACACAACAGGAAAAAAATAGAAATAATACAAATCTACTTATGTCACCCTCCTGGTAGAATTGAACCTGTAGGATGCTATTCTTTGAGGGTAAGGAATTACGACTATCACAGGGCTGAATAAAGAGAGAGGGAAACACAGTAATAGAGTACTTCACAGTAAAATACCTCTTTATTAGGAATATATTTAAAACTAGCTTTTTATTTTGGGTAAGAAAAATAGCATTCTGACTTCTGGCCAGTGCCGATTCCGGTCATACACAATATTCTAACAGCTAGAGAAGTTATTTGCACCGTTGTTGTCCATTATCAGTTCTCCTAACTGCCCGTTCACTGCCTTTTATTTTTAGCTTGCTCTTAAATACGTTGAAATTCTTAAAATAAGGTTTGTATTCAGATCTTAGTTAAGACTGACAGACTGACTTGACAGCAAGTCAGCATCTGTTATTAGCTCACACCCAGTTTAAGACTTCTTTTGAAGAACAACATGGTTCGATAGCTGATCTACGAAGACAATTAAGAGGGCAACTCTCCAGGAAGACTGTAGTAGAAGTGGGATTTGTTCTACCGTACAGTTTTGTACTGTAAAGTAGCACCAGTTTCATGAACTTCAGTTAATTCTACACGCCTTTACAAGAGAGCACTGAAGAACAGAATATAAGGGTATTGCTATTACTATTCAAACAGTAAACTACTTTGTGTGTACATTTTGGTACTCAGTACAAGTCTAGACTCTTTCTCTTGCTATGCTGTAACAACAGTTTAAGGTAATTAATTGGATCATGCTGTAAACAAAGATATAAAACCTTTGTGTTAAGCTTTACTGGTTTAGGAGTGTGCACAAATACCTGCCTTTAAGAAAAAAAAAAAAGCTGCTTAATTTTCCATCATGAGCATACAATTAGGTTGCATATTTTAAAACAGGTTTTCATCCATTTAAAAATGAACTGCATGCATTTCACAGAAGCGTTCCACAGCATTTGTCACCAAGCCTGTGTTTTTAGATACCCGACATCCATTTTTGATATGGGATACATCAGACAGGGAAAGTATTCTCCAGACAAATGTATTATTTTTGGTCTTGTAATTTCTTCCATCCTCTGTAGCCAATATCAAGCTAAAAGATACCTGTTTTAAGTACAGTTCCATATGTAGATATTTCTTAAATGCAGATGAAAACAATGGATGATGATATTAAAACAATCTCCAAGCCCACTGAGAATAGCCCATACGCTACAAGTTTGTGGCTGTTTTAAGCAGTATTTCAAAAATACACAGAAACACCAAAAATAGGCTATATCATGAAGCAATCTGATACTCAAATAAATAGAAAATTTGCATTTTAATGTCACATTGAATTTTAGTACATTTCAATCCAAGAAAAAAAATAAACTGACAGACATAGTAACGAGTACAGGATTACATATATTACAATATGCCTTGTTATAATACATTTGTGGCTTTATGATAAAAAACCTCAAGGGCAGATGGAGCTTGAGCTCATTTAAGTAATTGTCAGGAACACAGCATTAAATGCATTTCTGAAATAAGTACTTTTATTTAATTTCAAAATCTTAAAACAGTGTTAGACCATGGCCTTTTCTTTAAAAAAAGAATTAGTTACCATGGAGCTAGCTAAATAAGTATTCTAAAAGGTTTAAATGATATAGAAAATGCTTTTCCCAATTTTACATACAACGAAAGGATAGATGATTTCAAAAACAGCACCTATGGCTAACTCCATGTTGACCTTGACCTAGAAATGCACATTACTGATCTCCACGAGGAATCCACCAAATTTTGGAAGTTGTCCATTTCACATGAAAGCAAGAGAAAGGGCTACCATATGCAAAAATATTTTTCAAACTGTTCTTAACATGTAATTGAAAACTAAAGGCATGGTCTCTTCATTATAAAAAAATAAAGGTACAACAGAAACTCTAAAGGAAGATATTCAGCTATACTGAAGCTGCAACCCTCTGAGAAGAAAGAAAAAGGAAAAAAGTCTATTAGCTAAGCTTTGTGTTCTAACCAAACTACTTACAGTGATTTTTCAATGGCAAAAGCCCATGCTGACTGGGTGATCTGACAGTTCCAAATAGTTTTTGTAATAATTTTTATTTGTATACAAGGACACTAAAACGATCCAGTCATGCAACGTTCACTTTAAGCATTCTGCATCTCTTTTCCAATCTTATAGCTAAGGATCTTGTTCCAGTCAATCTTGGTGCGGGTAACTGGCAATTGTCGACGTAAGGCCTTGAAAGTAGTGTCTGACATAGTCTGGTAATTCTCACTGATAGCAGTCTGTTAAATACAAAGTCATACAAAACAAAGACAAATGAAGAACAGAACTAGGATGTTATATAAAAGGTTAAATGATTGAGTAGTCTGTTACCTCTTAAACAGGCTTAATAAAAATACACCAAATTAAAATAATATTTGATGAAGGAAAGCTGTTAGATCTAGATTGAAACAATACAAAGAAAATTAGCGAGACAGATGCAATAAACCTGGCCATAGCCTAGGTGTTTCAGCAAACCACAGCGTGGTTAATCAGCAGCACAAATAAAGTGCTGATAGGAGTTAGCTCATACATCATTAATTTCAGACATCAAAGTCTTCCACTGTTTCATCTGTGGGGATGGCAGAGTCAGTTCACAACATTGTATGAACTTGAATATAACACACATGATACATACTTTGTAAATTTTTATTAAAGAGTGTTTTTTTTAAAACTGACAGAACACGGTGTCTGACATTTACCTTACGTTCAAGACCCAAGTGAACATGAATCCATTTCTACAGAGGATATCTAGAACAGTCATACTTTTCTAACTTTAAAACAACTAATTGAAATGGATAATGCTTATAGTTGTATTTAGCAAAGCGGCCTAACAGAGTAGCCTCTAAACAGAATCCGTACAAAAATTCCACTTAAGGAATGCACTAATACTGAAAGAGATCAGAATTGCTGATATTCGATCACACCAGGGACTTTTTTGCTTTCAAAAAAGTGACTTCCAATGTAACGTTAAGTAGGTGAGTGCAGTCACCAGAAGGTATGGAAAGGGAGGATACAGTTAATAGCAGCATGTAATCTATTTATATTTGTATGGAACTGCATTATCTTAATATCAAAAGCTTGCTAATTATAGAATACTAGCTTTGGTTAAGTACATGGTAATGTTATACACGTGAGTAAGGATATAGTTTGTTTCCAACATACCTGATACTCATTTTCTGCAGCCTCTACGATTTTTATAAATTCCTTCGCTGTCTGGGCTTCATTCTAGAAAAAAAGCATTTTAATTAGATCTGAGTCTAAGACCAGTTGGATTATGTTTTTTCCTATAGTTACGAGCGATGTCAGGTAGACCCCATGAGAACGCATGACTGTTTAGTGGCAAAACCAAAACTGAACAAAACATTCATCCAAAGGCATATGACACATTATTATAATATTACTATTATTATATTAAAAAAATAAAAACAGCTAAACTGCAACAAGCATAAAGATTACCGTGGAGCTCATTAAAGTATTTTGATTAAAAATTCTATGGTATGATAAAAAGACATATGGAACAGAACAGTATTTGGAAATACAACAATACACACACACAAGTCTCTAAAAACATGCAAAGTATGGATATTAACACTGAAATTTAACATTGATCGGTACAAATTCAGGAAAACTTAAAGAACACCAGCTAACCCAGAAGTATGGAGACTACAACCAAAAAAAACCCCAAACAAATTTGTTCACCTCTAAACATTCTGAATCTGGAGACTAAGCTGAGGAAACACTACACTTTATATATCTGGGCTTCTACAAACATCCCCAAGTACATCTCGCAAAAATGAGGGTGCACCACACCACAACGTCCAAATTTCACCATGACTGAAACAATTTCTTGGTTTTGGGCCTCATCTTTGAGTACGCAAGTGTGTGTTTGTTTTAAAAATAAAAATAAAACAACCTATCAGTCAATCCGGAGACAAATTAGCTGAAGTGCTTGAAAGAAGTCTCAAGAAGGAAGTGAGGGTTCATGAATTTCAAAAGTTCCAACTTGGTATTGGAGACATTCCTAAGGGTGCTTTTGCAGACGCTGTTGAAAGTTAGGAGTGTTCCTGCCCCACGTCATCCCTCGTTCCTACAAAGGCAACGACTGGGAGAAGGCTATGGCAGCTTCAACTACAACTGGTTCGAAGTTTCAATGAAACTGCACCTAGCAGCTGTGAAAGCGCTCCTGGACACCGCAGAAAGAGATGAAGGAGGAGGTAGAGACCAAGTAGAACAAATGAAAGGGTTCTGACTTTTCAGTGAACTGAGGCAATGATTTCAAAGGCTCTGCTAACGAAAGGAAGAATTCAGTGGTATGAGGTCTAATTTATCTCAGAGAGAAATTAGGGATAACAAATTTTTTATAGCTCTAGCAACAAGAGAACTCTTCAGTCATTTATTTCAGTTGTGCCCATTGATGGTACAAAATTGCTTCTCTGCCAAACAACAAAAAAGAGGAGTCATTGAGGCTCTTTTTAATCTACCTATCATTCCTTCCACGTGAAATAAGAACTTGTACAGCCTCTGTTCCCTATGAAACTCAAAGTCAATGCTAAAAATTGGTAACCAGCAGCATACTTGCTTTTGTTCTAGCAGGAGATAGGAAAGTTATGTAAAATATGTTTTTCTACTCATCTGTCTTCTGCTGCTTTACTAAATTGTGGAACAGGATTAAGTTTCTTCCCAATAGAAAGTGAAGCAAAAGCTATTGAAAGGAGAACTTCTTCCACACAATCTTCCCTGAAGCAACTCTTAGTTGAATGAAAGACTAAACAGATCCCTTTGCTTAGGGTGTCAAAAGTAATCTTATATCTACAGCTCCACAAGTGTTATCAGTTGGCACCACACTCTCCCATTCTTTATGGTGCTACTGCAACTGAGAAGCCAACAAGCCTTGCTTTGTATTAACAATGAATGTCCTTTACTGATGAATTGAGCTTTTGAGCCAAATTGGTCACTACTAGTGGTTATCATTAAAATGCTTCTACTGTTCACTTTTACAATTTCCCTTTGCCAGTTTAACCTCACCAGCTTAAGTTTTATTAAAGAACATTCCCAACAGAAAATCTTACTGTATATAAACCCAATCTCCAGCAGGCAAGAGAAACACTATTTCAAAAGTAGTGGTTGTTCACGTTGCAACATTACCAACTCTTAAAGGATATACCTGGCACTATTTACAAACAATTTTTACTTCTGCTGTCTGCTCCTCGTTATTATAATGAAACATTTGGAAAGAAGTCAGAAAAAAATGATGCTTTATATTTAAAGTGTGTTATGCTTCTAAAGCTGAAGCATCTCTGAAAGGGCTTTTTGTACAGAAAAGCAAGAGGCTGACAGCACCAGTTACAGACAGGGAGGAAATGAACGGAGAATACCTACTACTGCTTCTCAACTGGTAGCATTTGTTTACTATTTTTAGCATACTGGCCTTCTCCCCGTGAAGAAAAGAGGCAACCTCCTAGAGATTGTACTACTGAAGTGGGTTATTATAACTCAAACCTCCTTCATAATTAAAAATTAATTCTATAGGTCATTCCTGCAGACCAAAGTTTAAATACAACACAGGTGCAGAAAGACTGACAGCAAGCTAATTAAAGCTTTAGAATCAAAGTTAATTTAGCTTATATAAGCCACACGAAAACATACATTGATTTTTTGTTTTTTAAACAGTAACTACATGTTAGGTAAAAGTAGTAAATCCTACACACAAAATATTTATAAATTAGAACATCAATGCCTATTCATGCAGAAGAGCAAACTAGCCTCCAAACTTCTGAGCTTTTTTTAAGCTTGCTTCACTTTTTAATTTAAAAAAAAATCACTTCAGTATACACACTAAGGTCTTTAAAGTTCACTTACAGACACTGTTAGAGAATCTTGTATGTCTTTATGGCTCACTAGTTGAACATTGCCATCTTCATAATAGTGAACCTATAGAAAATTAAACAAAGAACCTCATATTAAACGTTACAGACCAACAATATACACGAAAATCAAAGTATGGTAGCATTTATCGTAATAACAAACCTACACAAATCAAGAACAGGCATAAAATGTTACAGAACAACAAAAACACATAGGAAAACTAAAATGCTGTAGAATTTAAATATTTTTGAGGGGAAGTAGTAAAGAAGCTAGTCTGGAAACATTTTTGTGTTATTGTGCCTTAAGTAGTATTCCATGCAAATAAGTTTAGGTTTTGATTAACACCATGAAGAAGACAACATACTATTTATGTGACCTTACCAGAAATTAATAGAATAGACTATTCTAAACAGTGAAGATATATTTAAAATGAGAATAGTTTTGGCAAGGCTTCGGAATACTGCAAAGTTGTTTTGCTGCTTCACCCAAACTGCTTTCTAGTGACAGTGCAACATTAAGCTTTCCTTTCTAGATCTGCCTGGTTTGGCTATTTTCCCCTATTAGATATGGCCGATAACAAAAGCTGGTATTTATCTAGCCAAAGAAGCTCTTTGGGACAAAGTGTGCCGAGGTTAGATAGCAAAACAGAATGAAATCTATTTACTCTTGAAATGTTGTATCTACAGAATCCTTGCTTATTTTGCAGGATGACACCAGCAAAACGTTACCCAAGCTAACTTTAGGACTTTCAAATTCACTTGGGGAGGATCTGAAAACATTCAGTTTCTAATGCAACTGTTGGAAAACTTAAAAGTTAGGAAGTATATATAAAGTTACATGTAATCATTCACAATAACCAAGACAGAAGAGTTACGCAGCTCATTGACATTTAAACAGATATCTTTAAAGATTTTTTCACAATTTTCATAAAGTCAACATAGTGAACATAGCTGATTCAAACATCTGTGCCTCACCCTATTAGGCAAGATAACATTTTAATTTGGAGATTAATGCACAATACTGTAATTTCATATACCTTATGATCATGTGTGCAAGAGACCCTCAATTTTACAAACAATAGAGAAAACACGACAGAGTAAGACAGCTATAATACCTAAGCAAAAGAAAGACTTCCTATATGAGAAAAGAATTATTTCCTATGATTCATGTTAGGTTATTATTTTGCTTATTGTCAAATAGCTGTTTTTCAATAAAATGTATCATCCTAACCATAAAATAAGCTTCTTTTCAAATCAAACATCAGTGAGTGAAACTTCTGCCGGCCTTTTTCAATCTAGTTCCTAAAAGACAAGGAGTGCTTACTCAGTATGAAATTCTGAGACCTCCCAATGAAACAGCAGAATCCAGAGAAGTGTAAGTCTCCCCCCTTCTCCATCACAATCCACTGCAGAGGGCCCAAACCTCCCCTGTGCTCCGAGGCCAACATCAGCACAAACATCTTATCTGTCTCACTGAGTCACATTCTCGGCAAACACTCAGGCCTAAACACTTAACAGGGATGAAGAGCCAAATCTAGTCCTGGGATGTGTTATATCTTATATAAAATATGACAAGTAACTGTTCTGTACTATACCTCACCGCTGACATCCTTCTAGAATGCTAGGTCTGGGTTCAGAAGACTACAAGAAGGATGATGTTTATGAACAGAACCTCTTGGCAAAGGTTAACTAAGGAGGGATGAAAATAACAAATTATCTAAGAGATAAAATTAGTAACCAGTACACTTATCAGTTGTCTTCCATGCACAGTTGGAGCATGTCAAGCACCACAGGGTCTTAGTTTTAGTAATAGGCTCTGCTGTTGCAGCTTTCTCCTTACATATAATTAAAAGAAAATTAAACAATGGAAGAGACTAAGACAGTTGAGAATCTCCTATATTATAAATAATAGAATTATAAAAAAAGGAAGAAATTGTGCAAGGGACCTTAAAAATACTGAAGTCACCTGAAGACAGAGCTGGAATTTCCCCAACTTATTCATAAAAAGTCTTACCAGAAACAGGGCAATGTTTCTGATAAGCTGTCATAAAGATTCTGCAAGTAACACTGAAATTGCAGTACTCTGAAATTTCACTAATGTTGTAGTGAGTTCATATTCTAGAAGCTTATTTTGCTCCTTAAAAAAATTAAAGCACTTTCTTTGTTTGGAGATGGGAACACACATTGAAGAAATTGTACACAATTTCTAAAAGCTTGAAACGGAGTTCAAAATTCTTTGGTGAAACAAGTCATTCCTATACAAGCAAAAAAAAATAAAACTTTTCATCACTCCCCAGAACACAGACTTTAATGAATGCAAATAACGACTTGATTAATTATGTGAAACAGTAATAAAAGACAAAATCAGCTGGTGTCCAAATCAGGATGCTGATTAAAACCTGACCAAATTCCCTATTCAGGCTATATTCTAGGCTACTGGGCCAACCTTCCCCAGAATTAGATAGACACCTGCCTGCTTGTTCTGGAAAATCTCTTAAGACATTTAACCAAAAGCACATGCTGTGGAGAAAATGCCTGTTTTGCCGCAAGCTGGATTTAAGTGACAATTTACTTAGATTCTCCTAAAATCTTGAGAAGCCTAGAAGTTACTTAGGGTGCTTACCATGACCGTCTTGATCTGACAACATAATAATGGCTGTCCACATTTGAACTATCATTCCAGCTGTTACAGAATTTGCCCCAGAATGGGAAACCAGTTTCAGGCCCCCTGCTTGAGTAGATCTGAACTTCGCATCCTAAATGAACATCCTAGCCTCAGGCTATGGCTAGAACATTCCATTGCATCTTCCTTCTGAAGTCAAGTCACTGAGTAGTCGGGAAGTGCAAAACTCATGGGGGCCCAAAAAGAGCAGGAAAAGGGAACTTGACACTGTCTTGTAAAAAGGTAATGAAGTACTACACTGAAAGCCAGACTGCACTCAGATTCTAGTCCTTGATCCCAGAATTGTTTGAATAAACTCCCGAAAAATACGTGTACATGTTCCAGGAAGTCAAGTCCCCCTGCCTACCGCATGACAGTCAGACTTCCTTTGGTCTCAAAATTTCTGCATTCCTTTTTCGTCTCCTTTCTGAATGCCCTAGAGCCAATACGAAGGGGAAATTCTGAATGAAGGAGAACCAGATTCAAAAACTTCAGGTGGTGGAATGACTGAAACCAAAGGTTCCCACCTTGCTGAACAATAGGGTGGGGAACATGAAAAAACCCTGCTATTATCAGTTAAAAAGAAAAGAAAGTTCTACTTCAGAAAGGGCCTACCCTCAGGAAAGGCTTGTGCCACTGCAAATTGAAGAAACAGGAAACCAAAGAGGTATACGCTTAGCTGAGGTGAATACACCTTCTGAACTCTTCTGAATCATTACATTAAACACATACTTCCTGTTTGTAAGGATTAGGTAAATATGCAATTAGGTTGCTAACACTTAACTGAATGGGCATTTCTGCTTTGCTTATTGGGTCCACAAATTCTCTTAGAATATTTAAGACACTAGCCTGAGTTTCCCTTGATAATAACTGGAGACTTTACTGACCAGGACACAGTTTGAGATAAGCATACCTGAATTTTCAAGATGCCAGCCACTTGAGTGGTTGAAGGGGTAATTGTAAACTTCCATTCTGACCTCCAACGGCCATTCCTTTAAAAGAAATAAAACAGAAATCAGATGTCATCCCACTGGTTAAGAAAAAACCCCACAACATGCAACTGATAGTCAAAGGAAAACAGAGAATGAAATATGCTGTGCAGCTACGTACGCACAAGATCTTTTCCTAAAGATTCAGCCCCGTAATCAGCCGAGACGAGAACAGTTTCCCATAATATTTAACCTTAGTTTTGGATGTGGACCACGGAGATTTATTAGTAAGGACTCTTAACAATAGGACTTCTGAAAATACCTAAAGCCTCCAACGTTCTTTCCCTCCCTTATTATTAATTAGGCATATATAGTCAATATTTTGTTTCCAGGACCTGGACGACTTGCTGAGTCAGCCAGAGTCACACTTTGCATCAGGCTGTGAAAAACTTAAATGGAAGGAACATTAAAGCAGCAAGACTTTCCGCTATGCTGAACTGTTAGTCAGCCTTTCAGCTCTTCTAGCATTTCTGTTCCAGGACAACTACTTCCTTCCAGCTTCCTTCCACAAATTCAACATCCTTGCCAAATTGCTTAAAGTGAGTTTCAAACATCTGGAAAACAGTATGGGGAGATTGTAGTTTCACCTGGTTTCTTCCCCATAGACTAGACATTTTCTTATTTTGTTCTGAGGTTAGTGGATTAGAAGGTTAGTACGTTAGAGCTATATTAAGAATGCACTGCAGCTGTCTCTTGATTCCTCCTTTGTCGCACTTAAAGAAGGAAAGAAAGTTGATACTATGAGTTCCAATCCTATTAGTGTTAGGTGTAGATTCCAGTGCATTCAACAAGAGGAGAAAAAGAGATAAAGACTTTAAGATTAACAGCTACTAATTGATCTATATTGACACATTTTAGATACTAACAATATTAACTCAATTATAAAGCCACTGATTATTATTTCAGACTATATCCAAATTATAGATTGTCACTGAACATTCAGACAAAGGCAATTCAGAAGGTTGCTGGCATCTCTAAGAAAACCAAAAAGGTCACCCAACTCAGTGACACTAATATTACTGTAGCTTTATAGACCGACCCATTAGTCATAAGCAAGCTTAGGTGCTGAACTACATTTTAGGTACAATATTAGTTTTTAAATGCGTGGGATTCAATGACTAGCTAACAGATTTGTTTGCTTCTTAGTTACTTTGTGGCCCTTGAAGCTAAGACGACCACAAAGTTTCCACTCTGGGATATCTTTTTTGTCCTCAAGATGCTATTCCAATAACAAGGGTTCAAGTTCAGAACGATCCTTCTGTAGGAAATGCTCTAAGTTAAAAACTACATGTCATTACTTTATTTAACTCTGCTGACTTAATCACCTTGATCTACCTCACCCAAAAATTAATGGCTCTAGTCTTACACTAAATTGATCTTTGGTCATCTTCTTTGTGTGAGACATGCAAACTAGAAGGAGCTGGTTTTATTTTGTCAGGCACAAAGGAAGCAACACAAGCAGAAGCAACTGTATTAGGGAACAGAGGCATGGGTATTGGTGCCAGTGTGATAAACTGGAAGAGTCAAAGAATTTTACAAAGTTCCCAAAGCCCTGCAAAGGAGATGCAGACGTGCAGTCTGCCATTTTACTTACCACAAAGGAAGAGATTTCTACATAGTTTTGTCAGAAAAACTTGGGGTGGGGTGGAGGGAGAAAAAAAGTCACATGCAAGATGTGCACGCACCTCTTTCTCTGAACTAAGGATTATCAGTGTAATGGCACCAGTGCAGTTGTTCAGTTTGCTGTATTTTACTGTATTTTTATCCACACAGACACTTACCAAAAATTTTTTGCTTGGAACTGATGGCTCTCTATGCATGCAATAATGGTCTGCTGTCCATCAATTGTTTTACCATACACCTTAATTAGAAATAATAAAAAAAAAACCGCAACAACAAAAAACAGAGTTAAAGTTTCAGTATCTGTCTTGCTCGAACTGCTTAGAGATATCTAGTTTTATTATGGTTGCAGAAACTGTAAAATTTAATTTTATAACCGCTATGGTTCTTACATGATATTCTGTACATGAAACATTGAAGTGTATATCACAATGCAGAAAAATTTAAGATTAGAAAATTTGAAGGTCAAGCATCTTAACTGATATTTTATACACCGTGAACTAATTTTTCTGCAACTATAAGAATTTTAAGCCTATAGCAGTGACGGCTGTGACAATATCTATTACCAGCTGAGCTTCAGATACCAGTTATTCTACAACTAACTGATGATTTAAACCCTTACAGACTAGTGAAAAGGTGATTAAAAGGGTGGGTTTGGTCCTCTATTCTGCTTTATCCCCTAAAATCAGATACGAAAAATGTCTCAATGAACACGCAATCTGGTTTCCTTTACAGAAGCTGGAACTCATCTGACTGCCTGGGAATCCAATTCAACTTGTTAACTCAGCAACTGATTTTTTTTTTTTTTTTTCCCCTCCCGAGTTAATTTTTCCATTAGGTTAATACAAAGCACAGGACAGCTATCATTAGATCAATTTGCTGAACTTTAAATAGTCATAGGGCTCCTAACAGCAAACGAATGCTATTGCAGGCAAGACTGAGACGTTTTAGCTTAAGAAGCCATCAGAACCCACTGATTCTGGTGGTAAGAAAATAGCACTTTGATATATAGGGGATGCGATGGAGAGAAAACAGTTAGCTTGACTGATAGCTTCATCAGTAAACCAAGCCAAGACAGACATTTGTATCTTAGGGATATTTTTTTTTTTCTTTTTTAAAGTAACCAGCCAGGTAGCTAGGATCAACGGGATTAACCTGCAGTAGTCTACAGAAGGTCTTAATGCTTTAAGAAATTTAAATAAAAAATTCTTCAGAACTGAAAATAAGTCTTCACTATGCCCTGCAGTAACCACCCACTAGTAATCTAATAGCTGAAATATTAAACTTCTGAAGCTTTCCCTCATTTCCCTGTATGAACCCTTGACAGGACCAAATCCTTTACAGTTGAAACTGCCTATCTTCCTGGTTCAAAAATAGTTAGAATTTTTTTAGATTTCTATCTATAGTGGTACAGTGGTTATATAATTTAGTACTTACTGTGCAGACACCATTTGGGTAGTGTTCTTTCACATATGCTTTCATTGCCGTTTCAACTGAATTTCTCCAGGATTCTATGGCATTTTCAACTTCGTGGGGTCTAGGATCAGTTGCCTCCTTTCTTAAGTGATCAAATTTAAAAGAAATCTTGTTCTTGGGATCCAAAAATTTTCCATTTCCCAAATCACCATGTTCTGTTATCAAAACCTGTATTATAACATTTTCGTTAATATTTGCTATTCAATAAAGAGAAAAAAAATACCATATCAGATCTAATTATAACCTACATTTAACCGGAGCTTACTCATATTCGAAGACTCCCATTTTACACAAAATATGCACATAGCAAGAGATAACGAGGCTAACATGACACACTGACTCAGAAAATAAATTCTTTAATCTTACCCTCTTACTGCAACAAACAATTCAATATAGAAATTCATGTCTTCTAGTACTAAAGATGGAGCAAATTGTTTCTGCAGCTCCAAATCAGGTCTGATGGAATTCAGGCCAACAACACAGACTGAAATTTCAAGCTCTTCAGATGCCCTAAATGATTAACTTATGACCCTCCAATGGTACCAGTTTCATAATCTCTATATTTTGGCAGGGAAGATGCATTTCTTTTCATTTTCTTGCCAAGATACATTCCAATACCAGACCATCTTTAACAGTTCGAGGAACATTGCAAGTATTTCATTATATTCATACCTGTTCATCGTAACCGTCAATTTTTACTGGAGTAAACTGGTCCAAGTTGTACTGTGCAAATGCACTGCAAGAGGAAAAAAAAAGAAAAAACAGCAAAAGGTTGCATCAAGCACATTCTTTTTCCTTAGCAGCTGTAAGAGATTTAAGTAATAGCTAATAATCTGGGCAATGATGCATCAAAAAATTACATCAATGCTTCATTTTCTAGCAGGCTCAAATTCTTGGAATCACCTTGGTTCATTCAGTGTTCTTATTACAGATTCCAGCCACCATTACAGAACGATTTATGTTCAAAAGTAACCTGACACAGACAGACACAGAAGCTTTACAGTAACCCATAGAAACTGGAGGAACAGATAAAGTTTAAATTCCACCCTACTAAGCCAGACATCTCTGTTCCTACAGAGGAAACTAATTTTGGCATAAAATACAGTAGGCATAATGTTTTGATATAAAAGTAGGGTCCAAGGAAGCAGTATCTTACAGATGTTCAGTGCCTATAACATCTACCAAGAAACAGAAAATGAAATCCAAAAAGGTGCAGACTAGTTCCAAAAATCCAGGTCACCCATTATTTCCAGAACAGTTGCTCTAATCACTAGGATACAATCCAGATCTCTCCTCTGCCAAGAATTTAATCTTGATCAAAGATGCACAACACACATAATAGGGTTTTACTTGCCAAGCACACATCTTTTTAAATGAATCGCTTACTGACAGTGAAAAGTCTTACTGAAAAACATCTTGCTTTTATGCAACTATGTGGCATCTGGTACTTACTGGGCTGCTCCTTCCCTGAGAAGATTATCATTATTAAGCAGCAACCGAACATCTGAAAGGAGATATTTACAAGATTAAAGTACAGGTAACTCAGAAACTTGTTTCAGTCAATGTCAATAGACAGTACAAAACAAAAAAGTCAAACCACCCCACACCCATACAGGTTACTAGGTAGGAAATTTATTGCTTCGTATTTTGTAATTTTGACTGAACAAAATGAGAAGAGTAGTACAGAAGTGGATCCCTTCCAACACAATCCGGTAAACAGATATAAGCCATATTCTACAGGCTGTGTGACAGCTCCAGGAATCTGTCAAACTAGTTTTTAGAGAAGTTCTGAATGAGAACAGGACAGGATTCAAATGAGTTTATTTTTAAGATGTAAACTACCAAATCCCTCACACTGTATTGATGGTAGTGGTTACTGTATTTTGATGACATTAATACGGTATGTTTTGTACTTATTTTGTTTTAAGCCTCACCAGTTTCACTCTCGTTCCTTAATGACACTTAGTAGTCAGAGCACAACATACCACAATACCATTTCTTCTACCATCATACAAGAAACATATGAGTATAGAATAAAGTCAAGACTCTCCTCAGAATTTCATATTTACTATGCAGTAAATTGTTATTTGTGTACTTGACTTACTGGCTTATTATTTACTATGCACTATTTTAATAACAATTTAATGCACTGATTATTAACTAACTGATCATTAATCTCACTATAACATTTTAAACTCTTCTAAAGATTCCCAAGGTATCACACAAGTGGAAAAAAAAATTCAGAATACATTTGAAGTATTTTTTCTTTAAAAACAAACAAATAAAAAACCCAAATCAAAACACAAAACAACAAAACACCCCAAATGAAAAAAACCAACCCCTCAAACTCAAAAAACCTCCATGCCAAACCAACCAAAACCCACAATTTGCACAGTTAGAATTTAAAGCTTTCTCTCTCTTTTTTTAAGAAGTCAGTCTGCATCTCATTGAATGCTGGTCACACAATTATGATCAAGTGTTTTGAAACATATTATAGTCTGTAACTGAGCAGGTAGTTGCAACTATGAACTAGCTTAACAATAAAGTTTATAGCAACACGGCTATAAGAAATTGAATTAACCTCCAGGGAGTTGGGTTAATGAGTTGCTCACCAACAGTTCATTTCACAAATGCAGTGCAAGCTAAGTTTAAACTGGGACCAGCTGATTATTATTTAACTGAAGAACAAGGTCCTTCTAAAAACATTACATTCTTTAACAAATTTTAAGTTCTCTCCAGTCTTACACTGACTAAAAGTTTAGTATACTAAACTTACTTCTCTACTTAAATAGCATCAGAGACATTTGTAAGCTACAGCTACAAAACAGATGCCTTCTTATATGATATGTATGCCCACATATCTTGACGCAAGACAAACAGCAATTTTTAAAGAAAAATAACATACTAGGTAAAGTTCAGGCAACAATAGTTGAGAGAAGCTAATTTCAAGTTTCCTTTCAGTTTACCAACACACTCAGTAAAATGGAAGTGTGCCCAGAATTTAAGGGTTAAAAATGTTTGGAGAAGATTAATATTCTTTCCACAACTGGCATTAGGCAGTAGTCCTTTGTATATTTGCAGTTAAGTATTCGTAATATTCCTTCTTAAAAAAAAAAGGACCATTTTCATTTTGGCTAGTTTAATTTCTGTTGAAAAATGTATTTGTCTATGAAAAACAAAACAAAAAAAGAGTACATGTGTCTTCTAAATGAAAACCCTAGCAACTGTTAATTCATGACTGATTAAAACCAGAAAGAAAGCTCATTCTCACATCACAAAGAAAAGTGGTACTTTCCTCCTTTTGCATTTAAACCCCAAGCTGTCTTGTGACTGCAAAGCTTATTATGCCAAGCTACGACAACAGCTCTTACAGCAAGTGAGCTGCTAAAGTATAAGCTACATGAAATTCAGGAGAGTAATTGGCAATCCAATTTTGGATATAGATGTTTTAAATGAAAGGACAGAACAGATACATACTCACCATTGAACACCTCATTGAATTCCCCAGGAGGAGCATGAATTATGAATTTTGCTGCTATACGCACCTTAAATACAAAAACAATTATGTGGTTTTATATACTTGTACTCATTCCTATTCAAACCAATGATGCATTGTATAGCTTTAATACTAGGACATGAAACAGTACTACTCCCACTGTTTCATATATTTGTTCACGTTATTTAAACTACTCTGTCTTTGTTCAAAACACAGAATATACGGTTCTGTGAGAACATAATAAAGGAGATTACATGTGATGGAAACAGATAGAGAAATTGAATCACTCATGTTTTGTATTACTGGCAAAAAGAAAAAGATTAATATAACAAATAAGATCAATAATATATTCACAATCTATTTCAACTTTCAGTCCGTGGATGCCTGGAAATCAACACACATTCCAAGAAAGCCAAAAACCACGATGAAGATACATTTGATCTTCAAAGCTTCTCCTCTAATTTTACTACACATTCTATGGTTCTCAACTTTCCAAAAGGCCCACGGCTAGACAGTAATCAATAGACTACACAGGCTTAAAAACACTTGTGTAGACACTAAAGCGTGTAATTTCACCTGCACGTACCTGTAGGGCCTCTTAGTACCGCAGTATCAGTAGATAAAGTCTAAAAAACCACCCTGAGATCTTCTTTAATGCAAGTCCTCAAGTAATTGCCTTCAGCCACAACTTCTTGCAGACAAACCACAGCATAAGCCAGTACTTCCACTAAAAGTACGTGTACCTGCCCTGGCCTTCTCCCTCCTGTTTGCACGACCACTTGTACAACTGCACAGTGAGCAAAATTAGAAAGGTTCGTTTTCTTTTTTTTCAGATCGGTTCCCTGAACTGGTTCACTGCACAGTTGCAGACACATGTGCTTGCAAAAGGAATATAAAAATGTTTTTTTTGATGTGAAGCAACCTTAAAACTTTGAAACTGTTGCTTTACTCAGCAGACTTGCTTTCATTCATTCTTCTTTCTCCCTTAAACTGTTAAGAGCAGCCATTAAAAAAATAAGTAAATATTAGTTTCCTAACTTAACCTGACAAAAGTTCCTACCCTTCACACTTTACAGTTATCAGAAGACATTCAAAGCTCTCCTGCATCCTTGATGTGATGTTGCTATTCAAATACAGGATTCTACCCAAACCAGAGTTCCCATTTCTAACACCTTCAGTGATGTTTCTATGGAATAAAGAGCTGGCAGAGCCAATGCCTGCACTCTCTGGGCTTCCTGTTTGAGAAACACGTACTCCATTAACAAATAATTAAAAATAACCAAAGAACGCTTTACATTTACACATTTATACGTATATGAAACTACAGAAGAACTGTCTGAGCATGCTAGAGGTCTTGAACTGACTTGTAAATAGTTTTTACAACCGAGGGTAGCTATACAACCAATGCTTGGGCCCCTGGTTCTTGACAGGGCCCAAGTTCTCCAGGAGAGGAGGTGGATCAAGCCTAGAGTGCCCCGAGAGAGTGCTTACCTACCTCATTAGTGGTGTTCAGATCTCCGCGAGATCCCAAACGAGCAGCCCAGGCAGCCGCCTGCTCACCAGCAGTCAGCACACCGCCACTCAGAGCTGGCTCACGGAAAGGGAAAGGCTGTCAGTTCCCAAATTCCTAAACTCAACGCTACATTCTGGATTGCAGCCAGCCTTTATCTGCTGCCTCAAATACCTAAATCAGAACTCCTCTTTCATTGTAAACATAAATTTGCATTAACCGAGATAAATGCCACAGCGTTTACTCTTCTCAAAAGAGCCGCAGAGAGGCAAGAGCATCTTCTTCCATGGCAGCTTATTAAAGCACTTGCCCAGATAAGAAGCAAGCATGACTTGGATTGTCTCTGTTAACCCAAAGGAACGTAAATTTGTCTGCATTAGCTGGGTGACCCCAGCCACCAATCTGCACACTTTTCCCCAGTGAGGACATACTCCGTGCCCCTCCTGCTGAGGTCAGGGCACTCTCTACAGAGCATACACAGCTCAAGGTTCAAGCCAAAGAAATCTAAAGGATGTGAAATATAGCTAATCCACAGTACTATTAAAGCACTCATGAAAGAGAAGGGCAAGATAGGCTTCAAGGCTACTCCAAGGTGGTCCAGGACATTTTATCAAATGACCAATTAACAGAGTCTGAGATCAGACTGGAATTTAGGCCTCACACTTAAGAGCAGGTATTTAGCTGTGCTTTCACCATGACTATTTGGCTGACTCCCAGCTCAAAGTTAGATGCAGGGACATCATTTCTTGGTTCCTTGACTTCAGGACATGTACAGGACTGCTTATCCCTGCCAAGCTCTGGGCAAGCAGAGAAACAAGACTTACGAGACATTCTGAGTTCTGAAATAAAAGGTCCATCAGTTTTGGGCTGGGCAGCAGCTGACTGAGCAAAATTAAACAAAACTTGGGTACCCAAACCGCACTCTGAATGACCGTGCGCTTCAAACTGGTAGCATCTGTAAGGTGAGACATTAAGCCTGTACTAAAACTGGGATAATACCTCATTTTCAGCTGTGTTGGTAAAGTAAAACTGGTTTTGCTTCTTTTTTCGCTATCAGTAAGAATTATTCTTATCAGTCAGATTAGCTATAGTATGAGTAATATCCATTCAGAGGCATTCAATAGTAACAGATGTTTCCTCAGGACAGACCAACCTAAACATTATTTTTAATGAACATTTTACCAGTAAATTCAATTACCCAATGAGAATTTTTTCGGTGTGATAATTCATCATAGCTGCCACTTTTTATAGGACAGATAAACACAATCATGCAAATTCACAATGAACATCTCATCAAGACGTATAAAGCATATTCGCTCTTACAGAAGTAAAAAACCTAACACGTCTTCAGAAGTTGAGAGTCTATCAGCTAAGACACTCCCTGCATTTTGCTAACCCGCCTTTGTGAAGCCCATTTAAAACTAATCTGCTTTTCTTGCGGTTAAACCAAATTAACTTATCTGTGGAGATGAGTATCTGGAAAAGCCATATTCCCCAACTCACACATACAAGAAGCCCATACAAAAGAATTAAATCCAGTAGTCTCACTTAATACATAAGAACTGAAAAGCACATAAGGCTTCTTTATTGCCACTGAGTTTTTCCAGAAATAAATGCTCTAATGGAGGCTTCTGCTTTCCAAAACCAGACTGATACTGAAGGATAAATGAATACACTTTCGGGAGCCTCAATGAGATGAACATCTCCCTCTTTTGGCAGTAAAAAGCCACTGGCTCAGCTATCACTTGAAGAAGCACAACTTCAACAAAGGAACAGTCCATACAAAATGTAGTGTTTATGGGCAAATAAAAAAATTAAAAACGCACATATAGCAAGTGGTGCATTACTTGTAATATGAAGTGACAGCAAAAAAAACTTAACTGCAATATAGATCAGTTGAGATAGGAAGTTATTTCTACTGAAAAATGTTTAAGAAAACAGACAGATACATTAGAGTTGAAACCAATGCTGGTTATTCAATACATTGAGACTTTTAAAAATTGATTAGAACTGATTTGAAGAAGTCAAAAGAGAAACAACATAATATTTTAAGAGCCCAAATGACAAAACTTTTTTCATTCAAGAGAACTGCACCTTCACATACAGTACAAGAACCTTATACAGGTATCAGCAAGTAACAAAAAAAATTAGGTTAGAGTTGAGTATTCCTTTAGAAAACTCAAAAGCCAAGACTGAGAAAACACCTGAAGTTTCTCCACTTATTACTCTAGTTACTCCCAAAACACCACCTAAAGTTTAAGTCAGTGCTTTATTGACATAGTTTCCAAGATTTGATTCACAGACACTGTTTTCAGTTAAATGTCTGCAGAGTAGCTTGCAAGAAACTATAAACTTCAGAGTTCATTAATCCAGAACATCTGATCGTCAATGGTTCACAAAAAACAGGTCTTGCGAACAGCTTTTACCACAAGCCTACGTAAGGAATTGCACACTTTAATATATTAAACTCCTTGAAAACACAAAACCAATCTAAATATATTTTCATGAAATGTGACTTTGAGCATTAATTTGGACAAATCATACAGAAGTTGAGAGAAAGTTACAAAGAAAAAAAACAAACCAGCTCCTGAAACATTGAGAAGGGAATCATTCCCCACTGCAGCTGTTCTCTTTATCCAATTTTCACATATACACCAGTCACAGTCTCATTTAAATGAAAGTTTGATATCAGCAGGTAAGAGCTAGTGAGATTTACCTTCTCAATTCAAGTGAAACCAAATCACACCAGTTACAAGCTTTTTGATTTTATAAACTATTTCAATTAAGGTAAAAATTCAGACCGAGAAACTTAGCAAAAGAGAAAGGGACAGGTTTGTTGTATGCAATGAGCATGGATATTAGGCATAATAATTCTTAATTCTTTATTCTGCTAGAGATTAAAACAATTGGTCTATCAAGAGATGCCTACACTCAGTTACTATGGTGTTTGCGGTTTCCCGATTACACAAGCACAGAGGTAACAATGGACAGAATGGTGTCAGTTAGGCTAAATCTGCCTTGTTTTCATACTTCTGCCTTTATTTCACAATCTAATTTCTCTCAAGGTGTGACACCTATCAGAAATACAGAGAAATCCTACTTCTCTACCACTTCCAGTCTGAGACACTCTAAAGTTTGTTTTATTTGTAAAGAAGTTATCTGCAGAGACTCCAAATGCCCCCAAACCACTCTTCCTGTTCCTGGCACATCGGAACTGACACCGGTTGAAAAAGCCCGACCTTCTGCGCTATAGGTGCCTATATATGGGCATGAATACGCGCTCGCAGAACCGCATGGGCTCCCGCAACGCCTTGCCACAGTCAGCTCCGCTAAGATAGCCTCACTCCTGATAATCTGCTAGGGTACACCTAACAATAATAGACACATTAAAAGTTCAGCTAGCTTTGCTTCCCCCCCCCTTTCCCTTTTTCTTTTCCCCTTTTTAACTTCACTGAAATACAGCTGTATTTGCCAGGCACCCCGACAGCTCACTCCTTCAATCAGCAGCCATGCTGCACAGGAAAAATGCGCCGGTAAGCAAGATGCTGTGAAACCAAATACTTTGCCCTTACTCTTTCCTACAC